CCAACAAGGCCACCCAACCCGCTCAAACAACCCCAAAGACCCCTCAAACATCCCCAGGACCCCCAAACATCCCCCAGGACCCCCAACACCAACCCAAACACCCTCCAGGAACCCTTGACACCCACCCAAGCCCCCAACAAGCCCCCAGGACACTCCAGGCCCCCAACAAATCCCTCACCCCCCACCCAAACACCCCCCAGGACCCCAAACCCCCAAAAACCCCCAAACATCCCCAGGGACCCCAAAATCCCCAAACACCCCAGGGACCCCCAACACCAACCTGAACACCCTCCAGGACACCTCAACACCCAACAAGGCCACCCAACCTGCTCAAACAACCCCCAAAGACCCCTCAAACATCCCCAGGACCCCCAAACATCCCCCAGGACCCCAACACCAACCCAAACACCCTCCAGGAACCCTCGACACCCACCCAAGCCCCCAACAAGCCCCCCAGGACCCCAGGCCCCCAACAGATCCCTTCCCTGCCACTCTCCAAAGCTCCCCCAGACACCCCCCAGGACCCCCAGACTGTCCCAAATCCCCCCCATCCGCCGTGCTCACGTCCTTGTTCCTGTGGGGGCAGCGGGGGGGGCAGCGCTTGGACAGCAAGCAGGCGTCGAAGATGGCGGCCAGGCGCTGACGCAGGGCTGGGGGCGGGGCCAGGGGACACGCCCATTGATTGACCACGCCCAGTACCTGACCACGCCCACCACATGGACACACCCACCACATGGCCACGCCCACCGCCTGACCACACCCATGTCCCTCCCATTGGGTACCCCCACAGTGGCCACAACCACTGATGACCACGCCCATCACATGACCACACCCACCACATAGCCATGCCCACTGCCTGACCACACCCACCTGACCACACCCACTGCATAACCACACCCAGTCTGGCCACACCCACCTGACCACACCCACTGCATAACCACACCCAGTCTGGCCACACCCACCTGACCACACCCACTACATAACCACACCCAGTATGAATACACCCACCACATAACCACACCCACAGTCTGACCACACCCACCACCTGACCCCACCCATGTCCCTCCCATTGGGTACCCCCACAATGACCACGCCCACTGATGACCACATCCATCACGTGACCACACCCACCACCTGACCACACCCACCACCTGACCACACCCACAGTCTGACCACACCCACCACCTGACCACACCCACCACATAACCACACCCACAGTCTGACCACACCCACATAACCACACCCACCATCTGACCACACCCACTGCATGACCTGACCCACAATCTGACCACGCCCACCACATAACCACACCTACAGTCTGACCACACCCACCACATAACCACACCTACAGCCTGACCACACCCACTGCCAAACCACACCCACCTGACCACACCCACCACATAACCACACCCACCTGACCACACCCACCACATAACCACACCCACCTGACCACACCCACCACATAACCACACCCACCACATAACCACACCCACCACATAACCACACCTACCACCTGACCACACCCACTACATAACCACACCCACCTGACCACACCCACCACATAACCACACCCACCTGGCCACACCCACCACATAACCACACCCAGCCTGACCACACCCACCACACCACCTACAACCCGACCACACCCACATAACCCCACCTACAGTCTGACCACACCCACCATGTAACCACACCTACAGACTGACCACGCCCACCGGATAACCACACCCAGTCTGACCACACCCACCACATAACCACACCCAATCTGACCATGCCCAGCCTGACCACAGTCACCCCATAACCACACCCAGTATGAACACACCCACCTGACCATGCCCACTGCCTGACCACACCCACCACATAACCACACCTACAGTCTGGCCACACCCACCACATAACCACACCTACAGTCTGGCCACACCCACTGCCTGACCACACCCACCATGTAACCACACCTACAGTCTGACCACACCCACATAACCACACCCACCATCTGACCGCACCCACTGCATGAGCCCACCCACAATCTGACCACACCCACCACATAACCACACCTACAGTCTGGCCACACCCAGCCTGACCACACTCACCACCTGACCACACCCACCACATAACCACACCCACTGTCTGACCACACCCACCACATAACCACACTCACCACCTGACCACACCCACCACATAACCACACCCACTGCATGGCCACGCCCACCACATAACCACACCCACTGTCTGACCACACCCACCACATAACCACACCCACTGCATGGCCACGCCCACAACATAACCACACCCAATCTGACCACATCCACCACATAACCACACCTACAGCCTGACCACACCCACCACAACCACACCCACTGACCACACCCACCACATACCACACCCACTGCCTGACCACACCCACCACATAACCACACCCAGTCTGACCACACCCACTACATAACCACGCCCACTGCCTGACCACACCCACCACCTGACCACACCCATGCCCCTCCCACTGGATACTCCACTGACCACACCCACACCGACCACACCCAAATGAGGGGCCCCTCCTCCCGACCATAAGCTCCTCCCACAAATTTAGGCTCCGCCCACACACCCACAGCCCCACCCAATTAAACTCCACCCCTTACACCCCTCCCACCGTGTTAGGCCTCACCCCCGCATCTCAAGCCCCACCCACATCAAAGCCACACCCTCTTAGCCCCTCCCCCCTCTTCAGGCCACACCCACACACCATAAGCCCCACCCACTCTAGTCACACCCAGTCAGGCCCCGCCCCTTCATCCAGGCCCCACCCTCTCCTTGTTCCTCCCCCTTCCTTTTACTCCCTCCCTCTCCCTGTGGTTCCACCCACTGTGACCACACCCCCGGTGGCCACACCCCCTGTGACCACGCCCCCGTTGGCCCTGCCCCACTGGCCCCTGCCCCTTGTCCCCCGCCCTCACCGTGCTCGGCGTAGGTGATGAGGCCGAGGGAGAGCAGAACGGCGGCCAGGTGGAAACTCAGACCCTGCGGGGAAGGGGAGGTCACGGGGGTTGGGGGTCACTGGGGGTTGGGGGTCAGGGGGTCATGGAGGTCACAGGGGGTTGGGGGTCAGGGGTGTCACAGGAGGTCAGGGGGTCAGGGGGTTGGAGGGTCAGGGGTCACAGAGAGGGGTTTGTGGGGTCAGGGGTGTCGCAGGGAGGTCAGGGGGTCACGGGGGGTTTGGGGGTCAGGGGGTCAGGGGGTCACAGGGGGGTTTGGGGGTCAGGGGGTCTCAGGGGGTTTTGGGGAGTCTGGGGGTCACGAGGATTGTGGGGTCAGGGAGGTCAGGGGGTCTCAGGGGGTTTTGGGGAGTCAGGGGGTCACGGGAGTTTGTGGGTTCAGAGAGGGTTTGTGGGGTCAGGAGGGTACATGGGGGGTTGGGAGGTCACAGAGGAGGCTTTGGGGTCAGGGGTGGTTTAGGGGTCACAGAGAGGGGTTGTGGGCTCAGGGGTGTCAGCAGGGAGGTCAGGGGGTCATGGGGGTTTGGGGGTCATGGAGGTCAGGGAGGTCACAGGGGGTTTGGGGGTCACAGGAGGGGTTGGGGTCGTACAGGAGGTTGCTGGGGGGTCACGGGGGGTTTGTGGGTTCACAGGGGGTTGTGGGGTCAGGGAGTCACAGGGAGGTGGGAGGTCACAGAGGAGGCTTATGGGGTCAGGGGTGGTTTGGGGGTCAGGAGACGTCATGGAGGAGTTTTGGGGGCTCAGGGGGTCACAGGGGGATTTGGGGGTCAGAAGGTCTGCAAGGGAGTTTGGGGGTCAGGGAGGCTTTGGGGGTTGGAGGAGGGTGGGAGGTCAGGGGACACCACAGAGTCAGGTGGGGTCTGGGGGGAGTTGGGAGGGTTGGGGAGGTCAGGAGGTCACTGAGTGGTCAGGGGCTGTTGGAGATGGCGGGTGTGGCTTTGAGGTCATGGGCAGTGGGGGGGTCCAGAGAGCTCCACGGGGTCAGGGGGTTTTGGGGGGTTGGAGAGCCCCAGGGGTCAGGGTGGCACTGGGGGGTGGGGGGCTGGGAGGTTTCAAATGTTTTTGGGGTGTTTTGGGGTCTCACGTGCAGCAGGGCGCTGGGGTGAGTTTATGGGGGTGTTTTAGGGTGGTTTTTGGGTGGTTTTTGGGGTGTTTTGGGTTATTTTTGGGTCTCACATGCAGCAGGGCGCTGGGGTGAGTTTATGGGGGTGGTTTTGGGGTATTTTAGGGTGGTTTAGGGGTATTTTTGGGGTGTTTTGGGGTCTCACGTGCAGCAGGGCACTGGGGTGAGTTTATGGGGGTGTTTTGGGTGGTTTTGGGGTGTTTTAGGGTGGTTTTGGGGTGTTTTAGGGTCTCACGTGCAGCAGGGCACTGGGGTGAGTTTATGAGGGTATTTTAGGGGTGTTTTTGGGTATTTTTGGGTTATTTTTGGGTCTCACGTGCAGCAGGGCGCTGGGGTGAGTTTATGGGGGTGGTTTTTGGGATATTTTAGGGTGTTTTAGGGGTATTTTAGGGGTGTTTTAGGGTCTCACGTGCAGCAGGGCGCTGGCCGCGTACGTTCCCAGCACGGCAGCGAAGGTGCCCAATCTGCGGGCGGTCTGGAACACGTCTGGGGGGACACACCAGTAACACCAGTTACACCAGTAACACACCAGTGACACACCAGTAACACCAGTCACACACCAGTTACACCAGTGACACACCAGTGACACCAGTAACACACCAGTTACACCAGTTACACCAGTGACACCAGTGACACACCAGTTACACCAGTGACACACCAACCACGCCAGTAACCATCCCAGGGACACACCAGTGACACCAGTGACACACCAGTAACACCAGTGACACACCAGTGACACACCAACCACACCAGTAACCATCCCAGGGACACACCAGGGACACCAGTGACACACCAGTAACACCAGTGACACACCAGTAACACCAGTGACACACCAGTTACACACCAGTAACACCAGTGACACACCAGTTACACCAGTGACACACCAACCACACCAATAACCATCCCAGGGACACACCAGTAACACCAGTTACACCAGTGACACACCAATTACACACCAGTAACACCAGTGACACACCAGTGACACCAGTGACACACCAGTGACACACCAGTTACACACCAGTGACACCAGTGACACACCAGTAACACCAGTGACACACCAGTGACACCAGTGACACACCAGTGACACACCAGTGACACACCAGTTACACACCAGTGACACACCAGTGACACACCAGTTACACCAGTAACACACCAGTGACACCAGTGACACACCAGTGACACCCAGTGACACACCAGTTACACCAGTAACACCAGTGACACACCAGTGACACACCAGTTACACACCAGTGACACACCAGTGACACACCAGTTACACACCAGTAACACCAGTGACACACCAGTGACACCAGTGACACACCAGTGACACACCAGTGACACACCAGTGACACACCAGTTACACACCAGTAACACCAGTGACACACCAGTGACACCAGTGACACACCAGTGACACACCGGTTACACACCAGTGACACCAGTGACACACCAGTGACACACCAGTTACACACCAGTAACACCAGTGACACACCAGTGACACACCAGGGACACACCAGTTACACCAGTGACACACCAGTGACACCAGTGACACACCAGTAACACCAGTGACACACCAGTGACACACCAGTTACACACCAGTAACACCAGTGACACCAGTAACACCAGTGACACACCAGTTGCACCAGTGACACACCAACCACACCAGTAACCATCCCAGGGACACACCAGTAACACCAGTGACACACCAGTGACACACCAACCACACCAGTAACCATCCCAGGGACACACCAGTAACACCAGTGACACACCAGTAACACCAGTGACACACCAGTGACACACCAGTGATACACCAGTTACACCAGTGACACCAGTGACACACCAGTTACACCAGTAACACACCAGTTACACCAGTTACACACCAGTAACACCAGTGACACACCAGTGACACACCAACCACACCAGTGACACAGTGACACCAGTTACACACCAGTAACACCAGTGACACACCAGTGACACACACCAGTAACCATCCCAGGGACACACCAGTAACACCAGTGACACACCAGTGACACACCAGTGACACACCAGTAACACCAGTGACACACCAGTGACACACCAGTTACACACCAGTTACACACCAGTGACACACCAGTGACACACCAGTGACACACCAGTTACACACCAGTTACACACCAGTGACACACCAGTAACACCAGGGACACACCAGTGACACCAGTGACACACCAGTGACACACCAGTAACACCAGTGACACACCAGTTACACACCAGTGACACACCAGTTACACACCAGTAACACCAGTGACACACCAACCACACCAGTAACCATCCCAGGGACACACCAGGGACACCAGTAACACACCAGTAACACACCAGTTACACCAGTGACACACCAACCACACCAGTAACCACCCCAGGGACACACCAGGGACACCAGTAACACCAGTTACACGCCAATAACACCAGTAACACACCAGTAACCATCCCAGGGACACACCAGTGACACCAGTAACACCAGTTACACACCAGTAACCATCCCAGGGACACAACAGGGACACCAGTAACACCAGTTACACGCCAATAACACCAGTAACACACCAATAACCATCCCAGGGACACACCAGTGACACCAGTAATACCACTGACACACCAATTAACCACGCCAGTAACCACCCCAGGGACACACCAGGGACACCAGTAACACCAGTCACACACTAGTTGCACCAGTGGCACACCAGTAACACCAGTAACACACCAGTTACACCAGTGACACACCAGTTACACACCAACCACACCAGTAACCATCCCAAGGACACACCAGTGACACCAGTAACACCAATTACACACCAGTAACCATCCCAGGGACACAACAAGGACACCAGTTACACCAGTAACCCCCCAGGGACACCAGTAACCATCCACTTACACCAGTAACCACCCAGTTACAGCACTGACCACCAGTTCCCTCCCAGTCCCTCCCAGTCCCTCCCAGTCCCTCCCAGCACTCACAGGTGTGCAGCCAGCGGGACATGGGCAGGTTCCAGTGCCCCCCAGTGCCCCCCCAGTCCCTCCCAGTGCCCCCCAGTCCCTCCCAGTCCCTCCCAGTGCCCCCCAGTCCCTCCCAGTGCCCCCAGCACTCCACAGTGTGCAGCCAGCTGGGACATGGGCAGGTCCCAGTGCCCCAGTCCCTCCCAGTGCCCCCAGTCCCTCCCAGTCGCTCCCAGGTGCTGCGCCAGGCGCGTGACATGGGCAGGTCCCAGTGCCCCCAGTGCCCCCAGTCCCTCCCAGTGCCCCCCCAGTCCCTCCCAGCACTCACAGGTGTGCAGCCAGCGGGACATGGGCAGGTCCCAGTGCCCCCCAGTCCCTCCCAGTGCTCCCAGTGTTCCCCAGTCCCTCCCAGTGCCCCCAGTCCCTCCCAGTGCCCCCAGTCCCTCCCAGTGCTCCCAGGTGTGCAGCCAGCAGGACATGGGCAGGCCTCCCAGTGCCCCCAGTCCCTCCCAGTCCCTCCAGTGCCCCCAGTGCTCCCAGGTTGCAGCCAGCGGGCATGGCAGTCCCAGTGCCCTCCCAGTGTCCCCCAGTCCCTCCCAGTGCCCCCCAGTCCCTCCCAGTGCCCCCAGTGCCTCCCAGTCCCCCAGTGCCCTCAGCGCTCACAGGTGCTGCAGCCAGGCTGGTACATGCGGCTAGGTCCCAGTGCCCTCCCAGTACCCCCAGTGCCCCCAGTCCCTCCCAGTGCCCCCCCAGTCCCTCCCAGTCCCTCCCAGTGCCCCCAGCACTCCACAGGTGCCCAGCCAGCGGGACATGGGCCAGATCCCAGTGCCTCCCAGTGCCCCCAGTGCCTCCCAGTGCCCCCAGCACTCACTAGGTGTGCAGCCAGCGGGACATGGGCAGGTCCCCAGTTCCTCCCAGTCCCTCTCAGTCCCTCCCAGTCCCTCCCAGCACTCACAGGTGTGCAGCCAGCGGGACATGGGGCAGGTCCCAGTGCCCCCAGTCCCTCCCAGTCCTCCCAGCACTCACAGGTGTGCAGCCAGCGGGACATGGGCAGGTTCCAGTGCCCCCCAGTCCCTCCCAGTCCCTCCCAGTCCCCCCCAGCACTCACAGGTGTGCAGCCAGCGGGACATGGGCAGGTTCCAGTGCCCCCCAGTCCCTCCCAGTCCTCCCAGTCCTCCCAGTCCCCCCCAGCACTCACAGGTGTGCAGCCAGCGGGACATGGGCAGGTTCCAGTGCCCCCAGTCCCTCCCAGTCCCCCCAGTGCCCCCCAGTGCCCCCAGCACTCACAGGTGTGCAGCCAGCGGGACATGGGCAGGTTCCAGTTCCCTCCCAGTCCTCCCAGTGCTCCCAGTGCCCCAGCACTCACTAGGTGTGCAGCCAGCGGGACATGGGCAGGTTCCAGTTCCCTCCCAGTCCCTCCCAGTCCCTCCCAGTGCCCCCAGCACTCACAGGTGTGCAGCCAGCGGGACATGGGCAGGTTCCAGTTGGTCACCACCTCGGCCATCGAGCGCGGCAGCTCCACCCGCAGCGGCCGCGACACCGACAGGTCCCTGGGGGGGGGCATTGTCACATGGGGGGGGCACTGGGGGTCAGTGTGGCACTGGGGGGTCACTGTCACCATGGGGGTCACTGTCACCATGGGGGGGTCACTGTCACCATGGGGGTCACTGTCACCATGGGGGTCACTGTCACCATGGGGGGGGCACTGTCACCATGGGGATCACTGTCACCATGGGGGGGTCACTGTCACCATGGGGGTCACTGTCACCATGGGGGGGGCACTGAGGAGTCACTGTCACCATGGGGGGTCACTGTCACCATGGGGGGCACTGAGGGTCACTGTCACCATGGGGGTCACTGTCACTATGGGGGTCACTGTCACCATGGGGGTCACTGTCACCATGGGGGTCACTGTCACATGGGGTGTCACTGTCACCATGGGGGTCACTGGGGTCACTGTCATGGGGGTCACTGTCACCATGGGGGGGTCACTGTCACCATGGGGGGGTCACTGAGGGTCACTGTCACCATGGGGGTGTCACTGTCACCATGGGGGTGTCACTGAGGGTCACTGTCACCATGGGGGGTCACTGAGGGTCACTGTCACCATGGGGGGTCACTGGGGGGTCAGTGTGTCCTGGGGTGTCACTGTCACCACGGGGGGGTCACTGCAGGGTCCCCACAGGGGTGTCCCCATCACTGGGGGATCCCCATGGGGGGGGTCAGTGTGTCCCTATGGGCTCCCCAGGGTGTCCCTGTGGGGTGTCAGTGTGTGTGTCAGTGTGTCACTGGGGGGGTGTCCCTGTCCCCATGGGGGTGTCAGTGTGTCACTGGGGGTGTCACTGTGTCACTGGGGGGTGTCCCTGTCCCTGTGGGGTGTCCCTGTCCCCATGGGGGTGTCAGGGTGTCACTGTGGGGGTGTCAGGGTGTCACTGGGCGGTGTCCCCATCCCCCCAGGGGTGTCCCTGTCCCTCACCAGTGCAGGTGGTCGTGGTGCAGGCTGGACCCTGACCCAGGGGGTGTCAGTGGGGGTGTCAGGGTGTCACTGGGGGGGTGTCAGGGTGTCACTGGGGGGTGTCCCCATCCCCATAGGGATGTCATTGTCCCCTCACCAGTGCAGGTGGTCGTGGTGCAGGCTGGACCCCGACCCAGGGGGTGTCAGTGGGGGTGTCAGGGTGTCACTGAGAGGTGTCCCTGTCCCCATAAGGATGTCATTGTCCCCTCACCAGTGCAGGTGGTCGTGGTGCAGACTGGACCCTGACCCAGGGGGTGTCACTGGGGGTGTCCCCAGGGGTGTCACTGGGGAGGAAGGGGTGTCCCCAGGGGTGTCATTGTCCCTCACCAGTGCAGGTGGTCGTGGTGCAGGCTGGAGCCTGACCCAGGGGGTGTCACTGGGGGTGTCCCAGGGATGTCCCTCACCAGTGCAGGTGGTCGTGGTGCAGGCTGGACCCTGACCCAGGGGGTGTCACTGGGGGGTGTCAGGGTGTCCCTGGGGGGTGTCCCCAGGGGTGTCCCCATCCCCAGGGGTGTCCCTGTCCCTCACCAGTGCAGGTGGTCGTGGTGCAGGCTGGAGCCTGACCCAGGGGGTGTCAGTGGGGGTGTCAGGGTGTCACTGGGGGGGTGTCACTGTCCCCATAGGGATGTCATTGTCCCCTCACCAGTGCAGGTGGTCGTGGTGCAGGCTGCAGCCAGACCCGGGGGGTGTCACTGGGGGGTGTCAGGGTGTCACTGGGGGGGTGTCCCCATCCCCCCAGGGGTGTCATTGTCCCTCACCAGTGCAGGTGGTCGTGGTGCAGGCTGGACCCTGACCCAGGGGGTGTCACTGGGGGGTGTCAGGGTGTCACTGGGGGGTGTCAGGGTGTCACTGGGGGGTGTCCCTGTCCCCATAAGGATGTCCCCTCACCAGTGCAGGTGGTCGTGGTGCAGGCTGGAGCCAGACCCGGGGGGTGTCACTGGGGGTATCAGGGTGTCACTGGGGGTGTCCCTGTCCCTCACCAGTGCAGGTGGTCGTGGTGCAGGCTGGACCCTGACCCGGGGTGTGTCACTGTGTCACTGGGGGGTGTCAGGGTGTCACTGGGGGGTGTCCCTGTCCCCATAGGGGTGTCATTGTCCCCTCACCAGTGCAGGTGGTCGTGGTGCAGGCTGGACCCTGACCCGGGGGGTGTCACTGGGGGTGTCCCTGTCCCCATAAGGATGTCCCTGTCCCCCCAGGGGTGTCATTGTCCCCTCACCAGTGCAGGTGGTCGTGGTGCAGGCTGGACCCTGACCCGGGGGGTGTCACTGGGGGTATCAGGGTGTCACTGGGGGTGTCCCCATCCCCATAGGGATGTCCCTGTCCCTCACCAGTGCAGGTGGTCGTGGTGCAGGCTGCAGCCCGACCCGGCCAGCGTGGCCGTGGCCTCGGACAGGAAGGCCACGAAGTAGTTGCTGAAGTGGAAGGACAGGGCGCTCTCGTACGCGCGGAGCCACCTGCACGGCGGGGCGAGCACGGGGGGCAGGGGCGTGGGGAGGGGATTTGGGGGAATGGGGGATTTGGGGGACAGGGGGAGATATGGGGAAATGGGGGTTTGGAGGGGAAATGGGGGCACATGGGGGAGTTGGGGGAAATGAGGGAGATTTGAGGGGAAATGGGGGTTTGGGGGGACATGGGGAATTTGGGGAGATTTGGGGGACATGGAGGGGTTTGACGAGGATTTGAGGGAAATTTGGGTGGGAAATGGGAGGATTTTGGGGGACAAAGGGAGATTTGGGAGGAATTGGGGGAAATGGGGAGATTTGAAGGGGTAAAATGGGGGATTTAGGGGGACAGGAGGGGGGAGAACAAAGGGGGTTGGGGGAAGAAAAGGGGGTGACATGTGAAGGTGCCACCCCATCTCACATCCCCTCCTCACCCTCCCCATGGACCCCAACCCCCAGGGACCCCCAAACCCCTCAAAGACCCCCCAACCCCTAAGGGACCCCCAAGACCCCTAAACCCAGCCCAGGACCCTCCAAAATTGCCCCAGGGACCCCAGTTCTCCCCAGGACCCTAAAACCACCCCCAGGGACCCCTAAACACCCCAGGGACCCCCAAACACCCCAGGACCCTCAAATCCCCCAGGGACCCCCAAACCCTCCCAGGACCCTCCCAGACCTCTTCAATCCCCAGGACCCCCAAAATCCCCCAGCCCCCCTCACCTGGCGAAGACGCTCCTGGGCAGCACCGGGGAAACAGAGACATCAGAGGGGCTTTGGGGGACCTGGGGGCTTTGAGGGTCCCTGGAGTGGTTTTGGAGGGCCCAGGGGAATTGGGGGCCCTGGGGGTTGAGGGGACCTGAGGGGGATTTGGGGGTCCCTGGAGGGGTTGGGGGTCCCTGATGGGGGTTGGAGGTACCTGGAGGGATTTGGGGGTGTTGGGGGTCCTGGGGGAATTTGGGGGTCTCTTGGGGAGGCTTTGGAGGATCCTGGGGGAATTTGGGGCTCCTGGGGAGTTCAGGGATCCCAGGGGGATTTGGGGTGGGTTTGGGGGTCCCAAGGGGGTTTGGGGTCTCAGCTGTGCAGGGCTCGAGCCCCATAGAGGGGGAGGGGCTGAGAAGAGGAAGGGGGCTGGGCAGGGTTTAGGGGTCCGGGGGTTGAGGGATCCCAGGGGGCTTTGGGGGATTTGAGGGGGATTTGGGGTGGATTTGAGGGGGATTTGGGGGTCTCACCTGCGCAGGGCCCGAGCCCTGTAGAGGGGCAGGAGGCTGGAGAAGAGGAAGGGGGTTTGGGCGCCCCAGGGGGATTCAGAGATCCCAGGGGATTTGAGGGGTCTCAGGTGGGTTTGGGGTTCCCAGGAGGGTTTTGGGGTCTCACCTGCAAGGGGCCCAAGCCCCATAGAGGGAGAGGGCTGGAGAAGAGGAAGGGGGGTTGGGCAGGGTTTGGGGGCAGTTTGGGGTCCTGGGCAGGGTTTGGATGCTCAGGGGATTTGGGGGTCTCTGTGGAGATTTGGGGGTTTTGGGGTCTCACTGCGCAGAGGGCCCGTGCCCCATAGAGGGGCAGGAGGCTGGAGAAGAGGAAGGGGGCTGGGCAGGGTTTGAGGGTCCCGGGGTTCAGGGATCCCAGGGGATTTGGGGTGGGTTTGGGGGTCCCAGGTGGGTTTTGGGGTCTCACCTGCGCAGGGCCCGTGCCCCATAGAGGCAGGAGGATGGAGAAGAGGAAAGGGGGCTGGGCAGGGTTTGGGGGTCCCAGGGGGTTCAGGGATCCCAGGGGCAGTTTTGGGGTCCCAGGGGGTTCAGAGATCCCAGGGGTATTTGAGGGGTCCCAGGTGTGTTTGAGGGGGTTTAGGGGTCTCACCTGTGCAGGGCCCGGCCCCATAGAGGGGCAGGAGGCTGGAGAAGAGGAAGGGGGGCTGGGCAGGGTTTGGGGGTCCTGGGGGTTCAGAGATCCCAGGGAGATTTGAGGGGTCTCAGGTGGGTTTGGGGGGTTTGGGGGTGTTTTGGGGTCTCACCTGAGCAGGGCCCGTGCCCCATAGAGGAGGAGGGGCTGGAGAACAGGGAGAGGGGGCTGGGCAGGGCTTGGGGTCCCAGGGGGCCTAGGGATCCCAGGGGCAGTTTTGGGGTCCCAGGGGTTCAGGGATCCCAGGGGGATTTGGGGTGGGTTTGGGGGTCCCAGGTGGGTTTTGGGGGTCTCACCTGCGCAGGGCCCGTGCCCCATAGAGGGGCAGGAGGCTGGAGAAGAGGAAGGGGGGGCTGGGCAGGGTTTGGGGGCAGTTTGGGGGTCCTGGGCAGGGTTTGAATGCTCAGGGGGATTTGGGGGGGTTTTGGGGGTCTCACCTGTGCAGGGCCCGCGCCCCATAGAGGGGCAGGAGGCTGGAGAAGAGGAAGGGGGCGAGGCAGGTGCTGACCAGCAGGCACAGCAGGGCCAGCCCGAGGCTCCGCAGCCCCTTCCGCGCCCACGCCGCGCTCTGGGGGGGCAGGGGGGGTCAGGGGGGGCCCCAAAATACTGACACACCCCTAGAGACACCCCCAAATGTTGACACCCCCCCAAACACTGACACCCCCCCTAGAGACACCCCTGAACACTGATACACCCCCAAAACACTGATACACCCCCCAGAGACCCCCCAAACACTGATACCCCCCTAGAGACACCTCTGAACACTGACACCCCCAGAGACCCCAAACACTGATACACCCCCAAACACTGATATAGCCCCCTAGAGACACCCCTAAATGTTGACACCCCCAAACACTGATACACCCCCAGAGACCCCCAAACACTGACACACCCCAAACATTGATACACCCCCAGAGACCCCCCAAACACTGATACACCCCCCTAGAGACACCCCTGAACACTGATACACCACAAACACTGATACATCCCCCAGACACTCCCCAAACACTGGACACCCCCAAACACTGACACACCCCCAAAACACTGACACCCCCTAGAGACGCCCCAAACACTGATACCCCCTAGAGACCCCCCAAACATTGATACACCTCCTAGAGACCCCCAAATGTTGACACTCCCCAAACACTGATACACCCCCAGAGACCCCCCAAATACTGACATCCCCTTAAAGAGACCCCCCCCAAACACTGATACACCCCCCTAGAGACTCCTGAAACACTGACACCCCCTAGAGACCCCCAAACATTGATACACCCCTCAAACACTGATACACCCCCTGACACCCCCTAAACCCTGACACACCCCCCTAGAGACACCCCCAAACACTGACACACCCCTAAAGACCCCCAAACATTGATACACCCCCTAGAGACACCCCCAAAGACTGACACACCCCCAGAGACCCCCCAAAACATTGATACACCCCCAAACACTGACACACCCCTAAAGACCCCCAAACACTGATACACCCCCCAGAGACCCCCAAACACTGATACACTCCCAGAGACCCTGAAACACTGACACCCCTTAAAGAGACCCCCCAAAACACTGACACCCCCTAGAGACACCCCCAAACACTGACACACCCCTAAAGACCCCCAAACACTCATACAGCCCCCCAGTGATACACCCCCAGTGATACACCCCCAGAGACAACCCAAACACTGACATCCTCTTAAAGAGGCCCCCAAACACTGACACACCCTAGAGACCCCCAAACACTGCCACACCCCCCTAGAGACACCCCCAAACATTGATACACCCCAAACACTGCCACACCCCCTAGAGACACCCCCAAACATTGATACACCCCCAAACACTGACACACCCCAGAGATCCATTTCTCCTCCCAGACTCCCATTTTCTCCCCCCAAACCCCAGATTTTCCCCCAAACTCCCCCATTTTCCCCTCAAGTCCCCACAGCCCCCATTTCGCACCAGGGGTCCCTCGATGGATCTCAGGTCACATTTTGCCCCTCAGAGCCCCATTTTTCCCCATTCCCCCATTTTGTACCAGGAGGGTCCCTCCACGGATCTCAGGTCACATTTTGCTCCCCCAAACCCCCATTTTTCCCCATTTTCCCCATTTCATACTCAGTGGGGTGCCTTGACAGATCTCAGGTCACATTTTTCCCCCCCAGACCCCCATTTTTCCCCCCAAACCCCCATTTTCCCCATTTCCCCCATTTCGTACTCAGGGGGTCCCTCCACGGATCTCAGGTCACATTTTGCTCCCCAGACCCCATTTTTCCCTCAAACCCTCATTTTCCCCATTTCATACCAGTGGGGGTCCCTTTGACAGATCTCAGGTCACATTTTGCCCCCGGACCCCTGCTTTTCCCCCAAACCCCCTTTTTCTCCCCATTTTTCCCCATTTTCCCCTATTACCCCCCCATCTCGTGCACTGGGGGTCCCTTGATGGATCTCGGGTCACAATTTTGCCCCCAAACCCTCACATTTCTCCCCCAAACCCCCAGATTTTTCCCATTTTCCCCCATTTTCCCCCAGGCCGTACCATTGGGGTCCCTCGATGGATCTCAGGTCACATTTTGCTCCCCCAGACCCCCATTTTTCCCCCCATTTTCCCCCATCTCGTACCAGGGGGGGTCCCTCCACGGATCTCAGGTCACATTTTGCTCCCCCAAACTCCCATTTTCCCCCATTTCCCCCATCTCTTACCGGGGGGGTCCCTCCACGGATCTCAGGTCACGTTTTTCCCCCATTTTTCCCCCATTTTTCCCCATTTTTCCCCATTTTCCCCCATTTCATACCAGGGGGTCCCTCCACGGATCTCAGGTCACATTTTTGCCCCCAAACCCCCATTTTTCCCCATTTTCCCCATTTTCCCCCATTTCATACCAGGGGGGGTCCCTCCACGGATCTCAGGTCACATTTTGCTCCCCCAAACTCCCATTATTCCCCATTTTTCTCCATTTTTCCCCCATTTTCCCCATTTTTCCCCATTTCATACCAGGGGGGGTCCCTCCACGGATCTCAGGTGACATTTTTCCCCATTTTTCCCCCATTTTTCCCCCATTTTCCCCCATTTCATACCAGGGGGGGTCCCTCCACGGATCTCAGGTCACATTTTTCCCCCATATTTCCCCATTTTTCCACCATTTTTCCGGATTTTCCCCCCATTTTTCCCCCCATTTTCCCCCATTTCATACCAGAGGGGTCCTCTCCATGGATCTCAGGTGACATTTTTCCCATTTTTCCCCATTTTTCCCCATTTTCCTCATTTCATACCAGGGGGTCCCTCCACGGATCTCAGGTCACATTTTGCTCCCCCAAACTCCCATTTTTCCCCATTTTTCCTCATTTTCCCCCCATTTTTCCCCATTTTCCCCATTTCATACCAGAGAGGGTCCCTCCACGGATCTCAGGTCACATTTTGCTCCCCCAGACCCCCATTTTTCCCCATTTTCCCCCATTTTCCCCCATTTCTTACCAGGGGGGGTCCCTCCACGGATCTCAGGTAGGCCCCGAAGGGCTCCCAGGGCCCGAAGACGACGGAGCCGGGCGAGCACAGGTACCCCAAAACCTGCGCCGGGCTCGGCTCCCCCCGAGAGCCCCCCCGGTCCAGGTCAAAGCCCAGGGACACGGCCTTCATGGCCACCACAAATCAGGGACCCCCAAATTAGGGAGGGTCTCCCCTTCATGGCCACCCCCATCTGAGCCCCTGGGGACACAAATCAGGGACCCCTGAATTAGGGGGGGCTCCCCTTCATGGCCACCCCCATCTGAGCCCCTGGGGACACCAAATTAGGGAATCCTCAATTGGGGGGGACCCAAAAATCATGGCCACCCCCATCTGAGCCCCTGGGGACACAAATCAGGGACCCCCAGTTAGGGGGGGCCCCAAAAATCATGGCCACCCCCATCTGAGCCCCTGGGGACACCAAATTAGGGACACCTCAATTGGGGGGGACCCAAAAATCATGGCCACCACCATCTGAGCCCCTGGGGACACCAAATTAGGGACCCCCAAGTTAGGGGGGGTCTCCCCTTCATGGCCACCACCATCTGAGCCCCTGGGGACACAAATTAGGGACCCCCAAATTAGGGAGGGTCTCCCCTTCATGGCCACCACCATCTGAGCCCCTGGGGACACAAATCAGGGACCCCCAGTTAGGGGGAGCCCCAAAAATCATGGCCACCCCCATCTGAGCCCCTGGGGCCACCAAATTAGGGACACCTCAATTGGGGGGGGTCTCCCCTTCATGGCCACCCCCATCTGAGCCCCTGGGGACACCAAATTAGGGAATCCTCAATTGGGGGGGACCCAAAAATCATGGCCACCCCCATCTGAGCCCCTGGGGACACAAACAAGGGACCCCCAGTTAGGGGAGAGCCCCAAAAATCATGGGAAGGGTCCCCATGGAAACGGGGGGATCAGGGGAGGGGGTCCCAGGGGGGAATTGGGGGTCCCAGGGGGGTCTCCCCTTCATGGCCACCCCCATCTGAGCCCATGGGGACCCCAAATCAGGGACCCCTCAACTGGGGGGACCCAGAAATCGTGGGGGGGGTCCCCAGAGGAACAGGGAGATCAGGGGAAAAGGAACTGGGGGTCCCAGGGGGGAATTGGGGGTTCCAGGGGGGTCTCCCCTTCATGGCCACCCCCATCTGAGCCCCTGGGGACACCAAATTAGGGACACCTCAATTGGGGGAGCCCCAAAAATCATGGCCACCACCATCTGAGCCCCTGGGGACACAAACAAGGGACCCCCAAATTAGAGAGGGCCCCAAAAATCATGGCCACCCCCATCTGAGCCCCTGGGGACCCCAAATCAGGGACACCTCAATTGGGGGGGACCCAAAAATCATGGGGAGGGTCCCCATGGAAACGGGGGGATCAGGGGAGAAGGGAACTGGGGGTCCCAGGGGGGAATTGGGGGTCCCAGGGGGGTCTTCCCTTCATGGCCACCCCCATCTGAGCCCCTGGGGACACCAAATTAGGGACCCCCCAATTAGAGAGGGCCCCAAAAATCATGGTCACTCCCATCTGAGCCCCTGGGGACACCAAATTAGGGACCCCCCAATTAGAGAGGGCCCCAAAAATCATGGTCACCCCCATCTGAGCCCCTGGGGACACAAATCAGGGACCCCCAAATTAGAGAGGGTCTCCCCTTCATGGCCACCCCCATCTGAGCCCCTGGGGACACAAATCAGGGACACCTCAATTGGGGGGGGCTCAAAAATCATGGCCACCCCCATCTGAGCCCCTGGGGACACCAAATTAGGGACCCCCAAATTAGAGAGGGCCCCAAAAATCATAACCACCCCCATCTGAACCCCTGGGGACACCAAATTAGGGACCTCTGAATTAGGGGGGGCTCAAAAATCATGGCCACCCCCATCTGAGCCCCTGGGGACACAAATCAGGGACCCCCAAATTAGGGGGGACCCAAAAATCATGGCCACCCCCATCTGAGCCCCTGGGGACACCAAATCAGGGAATCCTCTATTGGGGGAGCCCCAAAAATCATGACCACCACCATCTGAGCCCCTGGGGACACCAAATTAGGGACACCTCAATTAGGGGACACCCAAAAATCATGGCCACTCCCATCTGAGCCCCTGGGGACACAAATTAGGGACACCTCAATTGGGGGGTCTCCCCTTCATGGCCACCACCATCTGAGCCCCTGGGGACACCAAATTAGGGACCCCTCAATTGGGGGGGGTCTCCCCTTCATGGCCACCCCCATCTGAGCCCCTGGGGACACAAATCAGGGACCCCCAAATTAGGGAGTGCCCCAAAAATCATGGCCACCCCCATCTGAGCCCCTGGGGACACCAAATTAGGGACACCTCAATTGGGGGAGCCCCAAAAATCATGGCCACCCCCATCTGAGCCCCTGGGGACACCAAATTAGGAACCTCTGAATTAGGGGACACCCAAAAATCATGGCCACCCCCATCTGAGCCCCTGGGGACACAAATCAGGGACCCCCAGTTAGGGGAGAGCCCCAAAAATCATGGGGAGGGTCCCCACGGAAACGGGGGGATCAGGGGAGAAGGGAACTGGAGGTCCCAGGGGGGAATTGGGGGTCCCAGGGGAATGGGGGGTCCCAGGGGGAAATGGGAAGTCCCAGGGGGTCCTGGTGGGGTCCCAGGGGGGTCCCAGGGGGAAATGGGGGTCCCCGGGGGGAAATGGGGGTCCCCAGGGGGTCCCAGGGGGAATGGGGGTCCCCAGGGGGTCCCAAGGGGTCTCACCTCTCATCTTGTGCCAGGTCACCGTGTCCACCATGTGCAGCTCCCTGGGAATGGGTGGAAGCTCCCAGTTACTCCCAGTTCAGCCCAGTGACCCCCCAGTCCCACACCAGTGACCCCTCCCAGCACCCCCCAAACCTGTCCAACCCCTCCCCCCAGCACCCCAAAACCCCTGAGAACCCCCAAACCCTCCCAACCCACTCCCAGCACCCCCAAACCCCTCCCAGTGCCCCCAAACCCCTCCCAGTGCCCCCCAAACCCCTCCCAGCACCCCAAAACCTCCTGAGAACCCCCAAACCCTCACAACCCACTCCCAGCACACCAAACCCCTCCCAGTGCCCCCAGACCCCTCCCAGTGCCCCCCCAGTACCCCCATACCCCATGAGGAGGTAGCTGAGGGCAGCCAGGGCGAGGCAGAGCCCCCAAAACCCATCCCCAGTGCCCCCAAACCCCCTCCCAGTGCCCCCAGTGCCCCCAGTGCCCTCCCAGTGCCCCCCAGTGCCCCCAGTGCCCCATACCCCATGAGCAGGTAGCTGAGGGTGGCCAGGCGAGGCAGAGCCCCCAAACCCATACCCAGTGCCCCCAAACCCCTTCCCAGTGCCCCCCAGTGCCCCCAAACCCCTTCCAGTGCCCCCAAACCCCTCCCAGTGCCCCCCAGTGCCCTCCCAGTGCCCCATACCCCATGAGGAGGTAGCTGAGGGCGGCCAGGGCGAGGCAGAGCCCCCAAAACCCCTCCCAGTGCCCCCAAACCCCTTCCCAGTGCCCCCCAGTGCCCCCATACCCCATGAGGAGGTAGCTGAGGGCAGCCAGGCAAGGCAGAGCCCCCAAAACCCATACCCAGTGCCCCAACACCCCTCTCAGTGCCCCCCAGTGCCCCTCCCAGTGCCCCCCAGTGCCCCCCAGTGCCCCCATACCCCATGAGGAGGTAGCTGAGGGCGGCCAGGGCGAGGCAGAGCCCCCCAAACCCCTTCCCAGTGCCCCCCAGTGCCCTCCCAGTGCCCCCCAGTACCCCCATACCCCATGAGCAGGTAGCTGAGGGCGGCCAGGGCGAGGCAGAGCCCCCTCTGGGGCCGTGCCCGGCTCAGCAGGAGGGTGAGGACGCAGAGCCCGCTCAGCAGGGCCACCCACAGCGCCTGCGCCCCGAAGAAATGGTGCAGGGCCAGCAGCCCCCCCGCCGCTGCCCCCGCGTGCTTGCCCCCCACCGGCAGCGCTGCGGGATGGGGGGGTCACTGGGGGCCCCAAAACATTGGGTGACCCCACAGACCCCCAGGTGACCCCACAGACCCCCAGGAAACCCCCCCAAAGCCCCCCGTGCTTGCCCCCCACCGGCAGTGCTGTGGGGTGGGGGGGTCACTGGGGGGGTCCCAAAACACTGGGAGCACCCCCAAAGCTCTGGGTGACCCCACAGACCCCCAGGAACCCCCCCCCAAAACCCCTGCATGCTTCCCTCCCACCAGCAGCGCTGGGGGACGGGGGGCCACTGGGGGCCCAAAACATTGGGAGCACCCCCAAAGCTCTGGGGGCACCCCCAAAACCTTGGGTGACCTCATAGACCCCCAGGTGACCCCACAGACCCCCAGATGACCCCACAGACCCCCCAGGAACCCCCCCCAAAGCCCCCTGTGCTTCCCCCCCACCGGCAGCGCTGCGGGATGGGGGGGTCACTGGGGGGGCATTGGGAGCACCCCCAAACCTTGGGGGACCCCAAAATACCCAGAGAATCCCCCCCAAAGCCCCCTGTGCTTGCCCCCCGTCCGGCAGCGCTGTGGGATGGGGGGGTCACTGGGGGGGTATTGGGAGCACCCCCAAACCTTGGGGGACCCCACAGACCCCCAGGTGACCCCAAAAACCCCCAGGTGACCCCATAGAGCCCCAGGGAACCCCCCCCTAAAACCCTGAGTAATTGTCCCCCACCGGCAGCGCTGCGGGACGGGGGAGTCACCGGGGGGGCATTGGGAGCACCCCCAAAGCTCTGGGGGCACCCCCAAACCTTGAGTGACCCCAAAACCCCCCAGGAACCCCCCCCAAAACCCTGCATGCTTCCCTCCCACCAGCAGCGTTGGGGGATGGGGGGGGTCACTGGGGGGGCCCCACAACATTGGGAGCACCCCCAAAGTCCTGGGTGACCCCACAGACCCCCGGGTGACCCCAGACACTCCCCGAGCCTTGAACCCCCCTGAACCCCCGAATCCCCCCCAACCTCCTCCATCCCCCTGACCCCCGGGTTCCCCACCAGCCCCCGATCCCCCTGACCCCGGGAACCCCCATCCCTCCAGACCTCCCCGATCCCCTCCCAGCCCCCTGATCCCCCTGACCCTGGGAACCCCCAATCCCCCCCACACTCCCCTGCCCCCGGCCCCCTACATCCCCGATCCCCCAACCTCGGGAACCCCCATCCCTCCAGACCTCCCCCGATCCCCTCCCAGACCCCTGATCCCCTCGACCCCCAGAACCCCCTAATCCCCCCACACTCCTGGGACCCCTGATCCCCCCGACCCCCGGGCACTCCTCAGACTCCCTGCTGTTCCCCCTGACCCCGGGAACCCCCTGATCCCCCCAGACTCCCCGACCCCTCCGACACCCGGGCCCCCTCCCAGATCCCCTGATCCCTCTGACCCCCTGACCCCCCACTCCCCATCCTCCCCTGATCCCCTCTGACCCCCGGACCCCCAAATCCTCCCCATCCTCCCCAATCCCCCCATCCTCCCCGATCCCTTCTGACCCCCCCGACCCCCAATCCCCCATCCTCCCCGATCCCTCCCGAGCCCCCAGACCCCCAATCCCCCCAGACTTCCTGATCCCTCTCGACACCCCAGACCCCCAAATACCCCCCGGACCCCCTAATCTCCCTCATCCTCCCCAAATCCCCTCTGACCCCCCGAACCCCCCAATCCCCCACACTCCCTGGAACCCCCAATCCCCCCACGCTCCCCGATCCCTCCCGAACCCCCAGACCCCCAAATACTCCCCAGACCCACCCAATCCCCACACTCCCCGATCCCTCCTGACACCCCAGACCCCCAATCACCCCCCACCCCCTGATCCCCCAGCCTCGAGAACCCCCAATCCCCCAGACCCCTCGATCCCCCGACCCCCGGTTCCCCCGCGGCCCCCCCTGCTGTCGCGGGCACTCACGGAGGCGGTGCAGGACCCTCGCCCCGAGGCAGAGCAGCAGCAGCGGCCACAGCTGGGCCAGGCCCTGGCGCGCCGTGGGCACCACGCACCCGGGCACCACCTGCGCCGCGAACTCCCGCGGCGCCAGCGCCGCCATCCTGGGGGGGGGGAGCCACACAGGGGTCGGCCGGGGCCGGGACACCCCCCCTCCCCAAAAAAAACCAAAACAAAAGAACCCAAAACCCCCCAAAACGCCCCAAATCGCGCCCGGACCTCGCCCGGCGCCGCCTGAGGGGGGGAGGGGGCGGGGCCCCCCGCGCGGACCAATCGGAGCGCGCCGCTCCGCCCCTCTGGGCCTCGTTAGCCAATCGAATTACGCCGCCCCGCCCCGCCGCGCGCCCGGCAGCCAATCAGCGCGAGGCGCGGCCAAATGGCGGCGAGAGACGGGACCGCCGTTGCCAAGGGGAGGGAAAGGGGGCGGGAAAGGGGGAGGGGCTTGTTGTTATGGGCGGGACTTCTTCGTCCGGGACCGCGGGTTGGTTGCCAGGGGCGGGGCCTCGTTTTTAGGGACCGTGATTTCGTTGCTATGGGCGGGGCCTCGTTGTCAGGGACCGCGGTTTGGTTGCCAGAGGCGGGATTTGTTGCTAGAGGAGGGATTCGGTGGCAATGGGCGGAGCCTCGCTAATATGGGCGGGGCCTCGTTGTCAGGGAACTTGAACTGGTTGCTACCGACCCGACACCGTTTGTGAGAAGGGGAACTTGTTGTCCTGGCCGTGTTCTCGTACCCGGGAGCTAATCTGTGTTGCTAAGGGCGGGATCTCGTTGCTATGGAGGGTTTGGGGGCGGGGCTTGTCTCTATGGGCGTGGCCTCGCAGTCAGAGAGCCGGCCCGCGCTGCTGGGGGCGTGGCCTGTTGCCATGTTACCCGTTGCTATGGGCGTGGCCTAGCAACAAGCCGGTCACCATTGGCTGGTGGCGGGGCCGTTGCCAGGGGGCGTGGCCTGTTGCTATGGAGTTTATACCGCTACTAAGGGGCGTGGTCTGTTGCCAGGTAACTCGTTGCTATGGGCGTGGTTTAGCCGCCAGTGGCGGACACCCATTGGCTGCGGCGTTGCTAGGGGCGTGTCCCGCGGCCGCCCCTCAGAGCCCGCGGCCGCCATGGAGCAGTTCGTGCTGCTGGGCAGGATCGGGGAGGGCGCGCACGGAGTGGTGTTCAGGGCCAAGGACCGCAGGGTGAGCAAAAATGGGGTGTTTGTGAGGGGTTTGAGGGGTTGTAAGGGGCTTTAGGGGGTTTGAGGGCGCGCACGGAGTGGTGTTCAGGGCCAAGGACCGCAGGGTGGGTAGGAAAGGGGGAGTTTGTGAGGGGGTTTTGGATTTGGGGGCGCGCACGGGGTCGTGTTCAGGGCCGAGGACCGCAAGGTGTTTACGGAGGGGAGTCTGTGGGGTTTAGGGAGGGCTCTGTGGGTTGGGGGTCTGTGGGGTTGGAGGGGGTTTGGGGGAGTCTGTGGGGTTTGGGAGGAGGTCTGTGGGTCTGGGGAGGTCTATGGGGTTGGAGGGGGGTTTGGAGGTCTGTGGGGTTTGGGAGAGGAGTCTGTGGGGGTTTGGGGGGCTCTGTGGGGTTTGGGAGGGGGTCTGTGGGGTTTGGGAGGGGGTCTGTGGGTTGGGGGTCTGTGGGGTTGGAGGGGCTTGGGGGAGTCTGTGGGGTTTGGGAGGGGTCTGTGGGGTTTAGGGAGGGCTCTGTGGGTTGGGGAGTGGTCTATGGGGTTGGAGGGGGTTTAGGGTGTTGATCTGTGGGGTTTGAGGGGTCTGTGGGGTTTGGGATTGGTCTGTGAGGGTTGAGGGGGGTCTGTGAGTTTTGGGGAATCTGTGGGGTTGGAGAGGGGTCTGTGTGATTGGGGAAACCTCTGGGATTGGGGGGCTTGGGGTTCAGTCTCTGGCATTTGAGGGGTCTGTGGGGTCTTGGGGGGTTTGGATTGGGGGCTCTGTGGGGTCTGGGTTGGATTGGGGGCTCTGTGGGATTTTGGGGGTCAGTAGGGGCTCTGTGGGGTCGGGCTCGGATCGGGGGGCTCTGTGGGGTTTGGGGGTCTGTGGGGCCTCTGTGGGGTTGGGGGAGGGGTCAGAGGGTCCAGGTACCCCCCTCCAAGCCCCTCCGTGCCCCCCCAGAGCGGGGAGCTGGTGGCCCTGAAGAAGGTGCCCCTGAGGAGACCCGAGGATGGGATCCCCCCCCAGACCCTGCGCGAGATCAAAGCCCTGCGCGAGATGGACGAGCACCCCAACGTGAGGGACCCCCAAAACATACCCTGGGACTCCCAAAACCTGCTCTGGGACCCCCAAAACCTACTCTGGGACCCTTAAAACACACCCTAGGACACCCAAAACACACCCTGAGACCCCAAAACACACCCTGGGGCCCTCAAAACTATACCCTGGGACCCCCAAAACATACCCTGGGACTCCCAAAATGCACCCTGGGACCCCAAAATTATGCCCTGGGATCCCAAAACGCACCCTGGGACCCCCTAAACGCACTCTGGGACCCTCAAAATATACCCTGGGACCCCCAAACTACACCCTGAGACCCCAAAATTATACCCTGGGACCCCAAAACCTACCCTGGGACTCCCAAAACCTGCTCTGGGACCCCCACAACCTGCTCTGGGACCCCAAAATGCACCCTGAGACCCCAAAACACACCCTGGGGCCCTCAAAATATACCCTGGGACCCCCAAAACTCACCCTGAGACCCCAAAATTATACCCTGGGACCCCAAAACATACTCTGGGACCCCCAAAACCTGCTCTGGGACCTCAAAACATACCCTGGGACCCCCAAACCTGCTCTGGGACCCCCAAAATGCACCCTGGGACCCCAAAACACACCCTGGGGCCCTCAAAATATACCCTGGGACCCCCAAAACTCACCCTGAGACCCCAGAATTATACCCTGGGACCCCCAAAACCCACCCTGGGACCCCAAAACACACCCTGGGACCCCCAAAACCTGTCCTGGAACCCCCAAACATGCTCTGGGACCCCCAAACGCCTTTATAACCCTCCTAAACTGCTCCTACCCCCATGTGAGAAACCCCATCAGGACCCCCAAACTCCCCTTGTACCCCTCCCAGGTGATCGCTCTGTGGGGGGGTCTTTGCCCGGGTTTTGGGGGGTCTCTGGGGGGATTTTGTGGTCCCTCTGACCCCTCTTTGACCTGCCCCCAGGTGATCCTTCTGTGTGGGGTCTTTACCCAGGTTTTGGGGGGATTTTGGGGTCCCCCTGACCCCAGTATCTCCCCCCTAGGTGATCCAACTCCGAGGGGTCTTTGCTCAGGTTTTGGGGTCCCTCTTGTTTTTTGGGGGTACCCCTGACCCCTGTATGTCCCTCCCTACGTGATCCATCTCCGTGGGGTCCTTGTTGAGGTTTTGGGGTTCCTCCTGCTTTTGGGGGGTCTCTGATCCCCCCTGACCCCTCTTTGTTCCCCCCTCCACATGATCCACAACTGGGGGGTCTTTGCCCAGGTTTTGGGGGGTCTCTGGGTGGATTTTGGGATCCCCCTGACCCCTCTTTCTCTCCCCCCAGCTGATCCGTCTCCAGGGGGTCTTTGCCCAGGGTGTGTCCCTGTTTTTTAGGGAGTCTCTGGGGGGATTTTGGGGTCCCCCTGACCCCTGTATGTTTCCCCTCAGATGATCCAACTCCGAGGGGTCTTTGCCCAGGTTTGGGGTGGATTTTGGGGTCTCCCTGACCCCTCTTTCTCCCCCCCCCAGGTGATCCGACTCCGAGGGGTCTTTGCCCAGGTTTTGGGGGGTCTCTGGGTGGATTTTGGGGTCCCCCTGACCCCTCTTTCTCCCCCCCCAGGTGATCCGACTCCGAGGGGTCTTTGCCCAGGGTCCCGCCGTGGTGCTGGCCCTGGAGCTGCTGGTGGGGGATCTGGGGGGGCTCCTGCGAGCGACCCCCACCCCCCTGAGCCCCCCCCGAGTGCGGGCCCTGCTGACCATGACCCTGCGGGGGCTGCGCCACGTGCACGGCCAGCACCTCCTGCACAGGGTGAGACCCCAAAAACGGGCACGGGGACCCCAAAATGGGATCAGGGACCCCGAAAATGGGCACAGGGACCCCGAAAATGAGCACAGGGACCCCGAAAATGGGGGGAGGGATCGCAAAAATGGGCACAGGGACCCCAAAAACGGGCAGGGCTCAAACCCTGCTGGCCATGACCCTGCGGGGGCTGCGCCACGTGCACGGCCAGCACCTCCTGCACAGGGTGAGACCCCAAAAACGGGCACGGGGACCCCAAAAACGGGCACAGGGACCCTGAAAATGGGAACAGGGACCCCGAAAATGGGGGGAGGGACCCGACAAGACGGGCAGGGTTCAAACCCTGCTGGCCATGACCCTGCGGGGGCTGCGCCATGGGCACGGCCAGCACCTCCTGCACAGGGTGAGGGAACCCCCAAATCTGCTGGGGGACCCCGAAAATGGGAACAGGGACCCCAAAAATGGGCACAGGGACCCCAAAAATGGGCACAGGGACCCCGAAAACGGGCACAGGGACCCCGAAAATGGGCACAGGGACCCCGAAAATGGGCACAGGGACCCCAAAAACGGGCAGGGTTCAAACCCTGCTGGCCATGACCCTGCGGGGGCTGCGCCACGTGCACGGCCAGCACCTCCTGCACAGGGTGAGACCCCAAAAACGGGCACGGGGACCCCAAAAACAGGCACAGGGACCCTGAAAATGGGCACAGGAACCCCAAAAATGGGGGGAGGGACTCCAAAAACGGGCACAGGGACCCCGAAAATGGGCACAGGGACCTCAAAACGGGCAGGGTTCAAACCCTGCTGGGCCATGGACCTCAAGGGGGCTGCGCCACATGCACGGCCAGCACCTCCTGCACAGGGTGAGACCCCAAAAACGGGCACGGGGACCCCAAAAATGGGATCAGGGACCCCAAAAACGGGCAGGGTTCGGGCCCTGCTGCCATGACTGCGGGGCTGGGCGCCACGGCACGGCCAGCACCTCCTGCACAGGGTGAGACCCCAAAATGGGCACGGGGACCCCAAAATGGGATCAGGGACCCCAAAAATGGGCACAGGGACCCCGAAAATGGGCACGGGGACCCTGAAAATGGGAACAGGGACCCCGATAATGGGGGGAGGGACCCTGAAAATGGGCATGGGGATCCCAAAAATGGGGGTAGGGACCCAAAAATGGGCACAGGGACCCCCAAAATGGGCACAGGGACCCCGAAAATGGGGGGAGAGACCCCAAAAATGGGCACAGGGACTCCAAAAATGGGGGGAGGGACCCTGAAAATGGGCACAGGGACCCCGAAAATGGGCACAGGGACCCCCAAAATGGGCACAGGGACCCTGAAAATGGACACGGGAACCCCAAAAATGGGCACAGGGACCCCAAAAATGGGGGGAGGAACCCTGAAAATGGGCACGGGGACCCTGAAAATGGGCACAGGGACCCCAAAAATGGGCACAGGGACCCCAAAAATGGGGGGAGGGACCCCAAAAATGGACACGGGGACCCTGAAAATGGGAACAGGGACCCCGAAAATGGGAACAGGGACCCCGAAAACGGGCACAGGGACCCCAAAAATGGGAACAGGGACCCCGAAAATGGGCACAGGGACCCCAAAAACAGGCATGGGGATCCCAAAAATGGGCACGGGAACCCCAAAAATGGGCACGGGGACCCCAAAAATGGGCACAGGGACCCCAAAAATGGGAACAGGGACCCCAAAAATGGGCACGGGGACCCCAAAAATGGGGGGAGGGATTCCGAAAATGGGGGGAGGGACCCCGAAAATGGGGGGAGGGACCCTGAAAATGGGGGGAGGGACCCCGAAAATGGGAACAGGGATCCCAAAAATGGGGGGAGGGACCTTGAAAATGGACACGGGGATCCCAAAAATGGGGGGAGGGACCCTGAAAATGGGGGGAGGGACCCTAAAAATGGGCACAGGGACCCCAAAAATGGACACGGGGACCCCAAAAATGGACACAGGGCCCCCAAAAATGGGCACGGGGACCCCAAAAATGGGGGGAGGGACCCCAAAAATGGGCACAGGGACACCAAAAATGGGTACAAGGACCCTGAAAATGGGCAATGAGGATCCCAAAATGGGCACAGGGACCCCAAAATGGGCACTAGGGACCCCAAAAATGGGCATGGGGACCCCAAAATGGGCACAGGGACCCCAAAATGGGCACGGGGACCCAAAATGGGCACGGGGACCCCGAAAATGGGGACGGGACCCAAAAATGGGCACGGGGACCACAAGAATGGGGGAGGCAATGGGGAGGGACCCCAAAATGGGCAGAGGGACCCCAAAAATGGGGGAGGGACCCTAAAATGGGCACAGGGACCCCAAAATGGGTGAGGGACCCTGAAAATGGACAGGGACCCCAAAAATGGGTGAGGGACCCTGAAAATGGGGAGGGACCCCAAAATGGGCACAGGGACCCCAAAATGGACACAGGGACCCCAAAATGGGTAACAGGGACCCCAAAAATGGGCACAGGGACCCCAAAATGGGGGAGGGACCCCAAAAATGGGCACAGGGACACCAAAAATGGGTACAAGGACCCTGAAAATGGGCATGGGGATCCCAAAATGGGCACAGGGACCCCAAAAATGGGCACAGGGACCCCAAAAATGGGCACGGGGACCCCAAAAATGGGCACAGGGACCCCAAAAATGGGCACGGGGACCCCGAAAATGGGCACAGGGACCCCGAAAATGGGGGGAGGGACCCCAAAAATGGGCACGGGGACCACAAGAATGGGCACAGGGACCCCAAAAATGGGCACAGGGACTCCAAAAATGGGGGGATGGACCCCGAAAATGGGCACAGGGACCCCAAAAATGGGCACAGGGACCCTGAAAATGGGGGGAGGGACCCCAAAACTGGGCATGGGGATCCCAAAAATGGGCACGGGGACCCTAAAAATGGACACGGGGACCCTGAAAATGGGCACAGGGACCCCAAAAATGGGCACGGGGACCCCAAAAATTGGGGGAGGGACCCCAAAAACGGGCAGGGTTCAAACCCTGCTGGCCATGACCCTGCGGGGGCTGCGCCACGTGCACGGCCAGCACCTCCTGCACAGGGTGAGACCCCAAAAACGGGCACGGGGACCCCAAAAATGGGATCAGGGACCCCAAAAATGGGGGTAGGGACTCCAAAAACGGGCACAGGGACCCCGAAAATGGGCACAGGGACCCCAAAAACGGGCACAGGGACCCCGAAAATGGGCACAGGGACCCCAAAAATGGGCACAGGGACCCCAAAAATGGGCATGGGGATCCCAAAATGGGGGGAGGGAGCCCAAAAATGGGGGGAGGGACCCCAAAAATGGGCACAGGGACCCCAAAAATGGGCACAGGGACCCCAAAAATGGGGGTAGGAACCCCAAAAACAGACAGGGTTCAAACCCTGCTGGCCATGACCCTGCGGGGGCTGCGCCACGTGCACGGCCAGCACCTCCTGCACAGGGTGAGACCCCAAAAACGGGCACGGGGACCCCGAAAATGGGCACAGGGACCCCAAAAATGGGGGTAGGGACCCCAAAAACGGGCACAGGGACCCCAAAAATGGACACGGGGACCCCAAAAATGGGGGGAGGGACCCTGAAAATGGGCACAGGGACCCCAAAAATGGGGGTAGGGACCCCAAAAACGTGGAGGAACCCTAGAAATTCGGGGAACCCCAGTCTGGGGGGGTCTGGGATGTCCTGGGGGGTCACCCCGACTCCTGTGGACCCCCCCTGACCCCGTGGGGGTCCCCAATTTCTATTTTTGGGGGGGTTTCCAGGACCTCAAACCTGCCAACCTGCTCCTGGACGGCGCCGGGCGCCTCAAGCTGGCGGATTTCGGGCTCTCCAGGGTGCTGGGGACCCCCCCCGGGCGCCCCTACAGCCACCAAGTGGCCACCAGGTACCTCATTTTGGGGGTCCCCCCTTTCCCGGGGGGGTCTGGGGGCTCCCCAGGCCATGGGACCCCCCCTGACCCCCCCATTTCAGGTGGTACCGGGCCCCGGAGCTGCTCTACGGGGCGCGCAGCTACGACGAGGGCGTCGACCTCTGGTGAGGCCCTCGCTTTTGGGGTCCCCCCTGGGGGTTTGGGGGGGCCTTTTGGGGGTTTTGGGGTGCCTCCAGAACTTAGGGATCCTCTCCTTACTTTTTATAACCCCCCCAGACTTGGGGTGTCCCCTGGATAGTGCAGATGTTTGGGATTCTTCTCCAATATTTTGAGAGTTTTGTCACGTTCAGATTTCTTTTTGGAGATTTTGGGGTTCCCCCGGGGGTTTGGGGGGACCTTTGAGGGCGTTTTGGGGTCCCCCCAGAAGTTAGGGATCCCCCCTCAACCTCTACAGCCCCCCCAGACCTTGGGGTGTCCCCTGGGTGGGGCCGATATTTGGGGTCCCTCCCAATATTTCTTTGCTCATTTCTAGGTTTATTCCTGGGGATTTTAGAGGTTTTGGGGGTCTTTTCTTACATTTTGGGGTCCCCCCAGAACTTGGGGATTCCCCCTCACTCCCTAAAAACCTCCCAGACTTGGGGTGTCCCCTGGACGGGGTCAATATTTGAGTTCCCCCCAGTTTTTTGGGGTCTTTCTTTGGTCATACCCAGGTTCCTCCCAAGGATTTGGGGGGGTGTTTGGGGTCTTCTCTTGCATTTTGGGGTCCCCCCAGAACTTAGGGATCCCCTCCTTACTTTCTACAGCCCCCCCAGACCTTGGGGTGTCCCTTGGATGAGGCAGATATTTGGGGTCCCCCAAAATATTTTAGGATCTTTCTTTGTTCATCCCCAGATGCTTCTCCCGGGAATTTTGGGGGTTCACCCCAAATCTTGGGGTCCTTCCTTGCATTTTGGGGTCCCCCCTGAACTTGTGGATCCCCCCTCACTCCCTACAAACCCCCCAGACTTGGGGTGTCCCCTGGATGGGGCTGATATTTGGGGTCCCCTAAAATATTTTAGGGTCTTTCTTTGTTTATCCCCAGATCCTTTCTCTGGGAATTTCGGGGGCTCACCCCAAATCTTGGGGTTCTTCTTTGCATTTTGGGGTCCCCCCTGAACTTGTGGATCCCCCCTCATCTCCTACAGCCCCCCCAGACTTGGGGTGTCCCCTGGGTGGGGTCGATATTTGGGGTTTCCCCCCAATATTTTGGGGTTTTTCTCACGTTCAGGTTTCTTTTTGGAGATTTTGGGGTCCCCCCCGGGGGTTTGGGGGGTCCTTTGGGGCATTTTGGGGTCCCCCCAGAACTTGTGGATTCCCCCTCACTCCCTAAAAACCCCCCAGACCTTGGGGTGTCCCCCGGATGGGGCAGATATTTGGGGTCCCCCAAAATATTGTAGGGTCTTTCTTTGTTCATCCCCAGATGCTTCTCCCGGGAATTTTGGGGGTTCACCCCAAATCTTGGGGTCCTTCCTTGCATTTTGGGGTCCCCCCAGAACCTGTGGATCCCCCCTCACCCCCTACAGCCCTCCCAGACCTTGGGGTGTCCCCTGGATGGGGCCGATATTTGGGGTCCCCCCCAATATTTTAGGGGTTTTCTCACGTTCAGATTCCTTTTTTGGGGGTTTTGGGGTTCCCCCCAAATCTTGGGGTCCCCCTTCAGTCTCTGTCTATCCCCACTGGGTTTTGGGGGTCCGCCTTACCCCCTATAACCCCCCCCCCAAATTTTGGGGTGCTCTCCTTGGGCTTTGTGGTCCCCCCACCCTGTAATTCTGGGTCTCCCCTGGAGGGTCTGCCCTGGATTTTGGGGGGGTCTCTCTTGGAATTTGGGAGGTTCCTCTGGGATTTTGGGGGTCCCTCTGGGATTTTGGGGGGTCCCCCTCAGATTTTGGGGGGGTCCCTCTGTGATTTTGGGGGGTCTCTCTTGGATTTTGGGGGTCTCTCTTGGATTTTGGGGGATCTCTCCAGAATATTGGGGGGGGTCTCTCTGTGATTTTGAGGGGGGTCCCCCTGGGATTTTTGGGGGGTTCTCCATGATTTTGGGGGGTCACTCTGGGATTTTGGGGTGTCACCTGGAATTTTAGGGTGTCCCCCTCAGATTCTGGGGGGGTCTCTCTTGGATTTTGGGGGCTCCCCCTGGGATTTTAGGGGATCTCTCCAGGATATTGGGGAGGGTCTCTCTCAGATTTTGGGGGGGTCCTCCCGTGATTTTGGGGGTCTCTCAGTGATTTTGGGGGGTCTCTCTTGGATTTTGGGGGCTCCCAAAAGTCTGGATCTCTCCAGAATATTAGGGGGGTCTCTCTGTGATTTTGAGGGGGGGGTTCCCCTGGGATTTTGGGGGGTCACTCCATGATTTTGGGAGGTGCCATGGGATTTTGGGGGGTCCCCCTGGAATTTTGGGGGGTCTCTCTGGGATTTTGGGGGGTCACCTGGAATTTTGGGGGGTCTCTCTGGGATTTTGGGGTGTCACCCTGGAAGTTTAGGGGGTCCCCTTGAGATTTTGGGGGGTTTCTCCATGATTTTGGGGGGTCCCATGGGATTTGGGGGTCACCTGAATTTGGGGGTCCCCTGGGATTTTGGGGGGTCCCCCTGGGATTTTGGGGGGTTTCTTCATGATTTTGGGAGGTCTCATGGGATTTTGGGGGGTCCCCCTGGAATTTTGGAGGGTCTCTCTGGGATTTGGGGTCACCTGGAATTTTAGGGGTCCCCCTGATTTTGGGGGTTCTCCACATTTTGGGAGGGTCCCCAGATTTTGGGGTGCACCTGATTTTAGGGGTCCCCATGATTTTGGGGGTTTCTCCATGATTTTGAGAGGGTCCCCTGGGTTTTGGGGTCCCCTGGGATTTTGGAGTGTCACCTGAAGCTTAGGGGTCCCTTGAGATTCTGGGCGTCTCTCTTGAGGGGTCCTGTGATTTTAGGGGTTCTCCATGATTTTGGGAGGTCCTATGATCTTGGGAGGTCCTCTGTGATTTTGGGGTTGTCTGGGATTTTGGGGTCCCCTGGATTTGGGGGCCTCCTGGATTTTGAGGGGGCACTCTGTGATTTTGGGGGTCTCTGAGATTTTGAGGGTGTCCCCTGAGATTTTGGGGTCACTTAGGATCTTGGGGTCCCCAGGATCTTGGGAACCGGGATTTTGGGGCCCCCCTGATGCTGGGGTGCCCCCAGGGCCGTGGGTGCATTTTTGGGAGCTAAGGACCCTGTCCCCCTTTCCGGGGAGAACGACATCGACAGCTCTGCTGCGCCCTGAGGGCACTGGGGACACCCAGCACCAGCCGACTGGCCGGTACTGGGGCACTGGGAGGGACTGGGAGCACTGGAGGGACTGGGAGGCACTGGGGACACCCAGCACCAACGGACTGGCCGGTACTGGGGGCACTGGGAGGGACTGGGAGCACTGGGAGAGGGCATGGGGACTGGACACCCAGCACCAAGGACTGGCCGGTACTGGGGGCACTGGGAGGGACTGGGAGAGGGCATGGGGGCACTGGGGACACCCAGCACCAAGGACTGGCCGGTACTGGGGGCACTGGGAGGGACTGGGAGCACTGGGAGGGACTGGGAGGGACTGGGGACACCCAGCACAGCGGACTGGCTGGTACTGGGGGCACTGGGAGGGACTGGGAGCACTGGGAGAGGGGATGGGGGCACTGGGGACACCCAGCACAGCGGACTGGCCGGTACTGGGGGCACTGGGAGGGACTGGGGGGCACTGGGGGGCGCTGGGGACACCCAGCACCAAGGACTGGCCGGTACTGGGGGCACTGGGAGGGACTGGAGAGGAATGGGGCACTGGGGACACCCAGCACCAAGGACTGGCCGGTACTGGGGGCACTGGGAGGGACTGGGGGCACTGGGGGACTGGGAGAGGGGATGGGGCACTGGGGACACCCAGCACAGCGGACTGGCCGGTACTGGGGGCACTGGGAGGGACTGGGACTGGGGAGCACTGGGAGAAAGGATGGGGGCACTTGGAGGGACTGGGAGAGAGGATGAGGGCACTGGGAGGGACTGGGAGAGGGGATGGGGGCACTGGGGACACCCAACACCACAGACTAGCTGGTACTGGGGGCACTGGGAGGGACTGGGAGAGGGGATGGGGGCACTGGGAGGGACTGGGAGAGAGGATGAGGGCACTGGGAATGTTGGTTTGCATTGGTTTATACTGGTCTATGGGTTTATCCTGGTCTGTACTGGTCTGTACTAGTCCGTACTGGTCCATACTGGTCCATACTGGTCCGTACTGGTCCATACTGGTCGGTACTGGTCCATACTGGTCCATATTGGTCCATACTGGTCCGTACTGGTTGGTACTGGTCCATACTGGTCCGTACTGGTCTGTACTGGTCGGTACTGGTCGGTACTGGTCCATACTGGTCCATACTGGTCCGTACTGGTCGGTACTGGTCCGTACTGGTCCATACTGGTCCATACTGGTCCATACTTGTCCGTACTGGTCCATACTGGTCGGTACTGGTCCGTACTGGTCCGTACTGGTCCGTACTGGTCCGTACTGGTCCGTACTGGTGCCCTGTGTGGCAGGAACTGGCCCACCTGCCCGACTACCCCAAGCTGCGGTTCCGCCCGCGGGCTGCGGCGCCGCTGGAGCTGCTGGTGCCGGGGGCTGAGCCCGCCGCCCTCGACCTGCTGGGGCGCGTTGCGGTACTCCCCTGCCTGCGCCACGGGCACACCAGGTGGGCTTGGGGGCTTGGGGGTTTAGGGGGTCCCAGGGGGTTTGGGGGTCCCAGGGGAGTTTGGGGGTCCCAAGGGGAGTTTGGGGGTCCTGAGAGGGGTTTAGGGGTCCCAGGGTGGGCCCCACTGTTCCCCTGGCTCAGCTACCCCGCCTGCGGCCACGGGCACACCAGGTGGGCTTGGGGGTCCCAGGGGTTTGGGGGTTTGGGGTCCCAGGGTCAGCCCCACCATGGCCCTGGCTCAGCTACCCCCGCCTGCAGCCACGGGCACACCAGGTGGGACTCCTGGGGGCTTGAGGGGGCTTGGGGGTTGGGGAGGGTTAGGGGTCCCAGGGGAGTTTGGGGGCTTGGGGGTCCCAGGTCAGCCCCACCATGGCCCTGGCTCAGCTACCCGCCCGCCTGCGGCCACGGCACACCAGGTGGGCTTTGGGGGTCCCAGGGGTT